TTAATAGATAGAGTGATTCTTAAGGAAGGTTTGTATGTATAATACATGCATATTGCACCCGTGCGAAGCCGGGGCGGGTCGCTAGTTTTATATATAAAAAGAAATAATGTACAAATGTTTTTTCCAGGTTTATTCCCTAAAGCTATTGAGTACAAATCCTTCAATCGAGTGACTAATCCTTATGAATGTGATATTGGAGGTGAGCATTCTAAGAAATAAGTAAATACTATGTCATTTTTTATCAGTGTATTTATACAGCAATGTATTTTTCCTAGGTTTCACATGTTTGGGGACTTCAGGTGAACCAATAAAGGATATTATGAGATATAGTAAGCTTGACAACACTCTGAAAGTGATGAAGAAAACCCTATTATGGAGGAATATTGCACCAACTTGTCCAGATACAATACCATGCACACCTTGCACGGAAACAGATCCCTTTATTATTTACAACTGTCCAGCTATTTACTTCTGTGGCAATTGTTCTGAATTTGCAACTGATCTATATGAAGGTACAGTAACTGACTTCAGAAATATTAATAATAAAGAATTGACAACTAGACTAACACTTTATTTCTTTTTCAGGAGATAATGGCCAGCGCACCAGGCTAGTGTGTGTACCAAACTTTTGTGAGTCAATGACTGTTGCCCTGATAAACTTGGCAAATCTAGAATGTTACAGCATGAAGTTTTCATAATTGTTAGCTTGTAAAATAATTTGAATAAATGGATTTAAGTTTTGAATTTGTGTTTATTTGTGGTTATATACCAAAGCAAATTTGGTTCATATGATAGTGCTAACTATCGTTTCTAGTTAAATAGTAGCCATGTAATTATTTACTGTAATTTTTTAAAGATAAAACTTTTCCTAAGGATCTAATTCTAAATTGATCTTATCTGAAGAATCATTTAAACAATACTTTATATTTTTTATTTTTGTTATAAATTTATGTCCTAATTTGGATTTCTCTTATATTTTTGCGACATTTCTGTAATTTAATTTAAATTGAATTAAATTTCATTCAATTGTTCTATGGTTGTATATGCATGATGGATTCCCTTTAATTGAAGGATCACATGGTTATTGTATTATCTGGTGGATTAGTTTTTAGCATTTAAGTGAAAGTATCTTTTGTTGGGAGTCCAAATAAAAAAATCTGCATTTCATCAAATGGTAGTTCGCAGCTATTCGATAAAGAAATTGACAAATTTGTAAAGAATTATATACTGCGTCATGAATCATCAGTAAGTTAGAATTTTTTTTTACGAATTTTATTTGTTGACGAATACTTGAATTATTATTTCTAAAATTCTTTCATATCGTGGGGTCTCACTCAAAATATTGTGCAATAAAAAGCTTCTATTGCGTCATTTCAGAAGAGTACTGAGAGGGCGCCACTGTTTAAAGTAAAATATTTTTTTTGATTGGCAACTCCGAGGCTTGCTTGCCTCCTCCCGCTGAACCTCTGCCCCTCTTTCTCTATTACTCATCAATGGCTCAAGACTAGTAGACGTGTTTAATTGTTTTCCCTCTGCTATAATTGCGTTCAAGATGGGTTACTAGTGCCTAAAGTTTGCACACCTGCGTGTGCCTTCACACGAAATATAAAAATGTTGTAAGTACAAGCTTTTTATTATATGTAATTTTAATATTAAACTGAGGTTTTCACTTTGCCATACTGTTGCATTCCATTCAATTATCATTATTCCAGAGGTGAAAATACGGTACAAAAGTTCAATATTTGACAGTAAATAACTCATGCACCTGTTTGTTTATAACAAGTGTTTGTAACTTTTTCATTGACACACATTGTTTAGCTATGTGGTCGAGTCAGCTTTCACCGATACCAAGTTGCGCGGGAGATCTATTATTACGACATTCCTTAGAATAAACCGCGCTTTGACTTCACAATCAGCTTAACTTGTCGCACATACATGAATAGTCTAAGTTTACAACATCACTTTAAGTTTTCATCTATTTCACAGTGATAATTCGGTTTCAAGCCTTATCTTACATTTTCTTAAATTGCAAAGACCTATTGCGCAAACTGTTGATAAATATTTTCGGAATAAAATATGTATTTACAACATTAGTAAAAAGAAATTTTAATTCTTATTTCTGAAATTTTCCTGTCTCATGTTGTTATTGATCAGGGCCATGAAAATGAAAGAGAAATTAATATTCATAACCATACATTTAAATAAAACTCAAGCAATCACACTCTCTGTGAGTAGTGTGGTATTTTTTACTCAGCGGTGACCATTGGTGTTTACAATCACCATGTGACAAGTGCTAGGTTAACTGTGATATTTTGTTGACAAACATGTTTTTAAATTAAGATTTCTAAATCTAAAGAAATGAATTTAAACTGTAGAAGTTGTATAGAACAGGTGGTGATTCAGTTAAATGGGATGTGCTGCACTCCCTGTGGTATTAATTTCAATGTAGTCTTATAGAAACTACAAATATCTTCATAATATGAATATATATATTATATCAGTCAGTACATACATTACTCATTGTTATTGTCTGTGGTAATGTGGTAAAGTCCCGAAGTTTATCCCCCAAATAGGTACATTATTTTATTATAAATCAATAATGATATTAATTTAAAATCTTTAGTAGTACTTATTAAAAATATTCTTGTTTCAATAGAAAGACAAAGTAATTGCTCTCTGCAAACAATCCGTAGGTAGTATAGTTGTATTTATCATAATAATTTATGAAAAGTTTATTTGTTTTTGTTGTATGACTTAAAATAGTTGATTCAGTTTTTGCTATTGAGTTTGCTATCTTCTGATTTCATGCTGGTTTTCTTTTAATTATGTTCTTACATATTTACAAGAAAACCTTTGTAAATATGTAAAAAATATAATAATCAATTTATCCAGTTAAACATTTAGTTGGTCACGAGATCATGTTTAATGAATGATTAAGATATTTTCAGTACATAATGTGATGCTGAACCGCAATGACTTGTTATTTTGATACTCTGCTAAAATGAGTCAGAATCGGTAGTGAGCCTACAGGAGTAATTGAATGTTACAATATTTACTTTTTATATTTAGTGACAACATAATAACATGTCAAAATTATTTAGGTGTACCATTTTTATAATCAGCATTCAAGATAAGCTTAAACTTATACTTGCAAACAAAATAATACTGATAAAAAGATTTGTCTAAATCATTCAATAATGAATAAAGTTACATAAGAATAGGAAGTATTCCTTCAATAATTGTGTTTATTATCTTTATATTATATATAGTATTCCAGATATTTATAACAATTCAATTATCATTAATTTGACCTGACTATCATTGTTTATTTCAAATTGATTTTTTTATGTAAAAAATGCCCTGTTATCTTTCCTTTTCAGTCAGATTATGTCTGTTATTCATTTGAGAACTTTGGCTTTATTGTATTGTGTATGAATAAATGAAAACACAAAGCCCTTGAAGGATGCGCCATTTGTTAATACCATTTTCTGTAGGTATGATATGCTTTTGATAAGGGAAATTAAATCTTATTTATGTACTTTTTTCTCTGATAAACCAGCTAGACTGCAGTTTTAATCTCTAAGAAATATTTATTACAACTAGCATTGTCTTGTCTGGTAGGAATTATGAGACACACAGAGGTTTTCGTTCATAATTTCATCACTGTTATGTTAACTTCTTAATCCCCGATAATGAAACATCTACAACATTTGTTCACACAAAAGTAGTCTATAAACATCTGAATACAGTGGAGAGTGGTCACCGGTGATCTCCTGTGAACTGGGCAGTACCTGATGGTGTATGTGAAAGGGGTATTATTTATTATGGCTTTGCTATAGATTTGGCAAATACTGTGTATAGTGCATTTAATCAATTTCAAACTGCGTCGTTGGCCGAGTGGTCGCGAGTGCGACTGCCGGGCAAGGGGTCTCGGGTTCGATTCCCGGCTCGGGCAAAGTATTACTGAGTTTTTAAAAAAATTCTCAGTTGTAGCACGGAGTCTGGTATACGGCAATAGGCTCACCCCCTATTACATGGGACTCATAACATAAATAGTGAAAAGTGGGTATTACTTCTGTGTGCACCTCTGCCTACCC